AACACAAACATGCACTTTATAAAGAAAATGTACATAAAATATCAAATACAAAAAAAAAACAAAAAAAAAAAAAAAAAACAAATAAATAAATAACAACAACAACAACAACAACAACAACAACAACAACAACAACAACAAAAAAAAAAAAAAAAAAAAAAAAAAGGAAACGCCGTTTCAATATGTGTGCCAATTTTCAGTTAATGTTTTTTTTTTTTTTTTTTTTTTTTTGACATTTCTTCTCAGGGTTTCAATTTTGCAGATTTCGCATCAAAACAGGCACGAGGTGAAACTTCAATAAAGCGATTGGCAACCTCAGCATGAAAGGCTCTTTCAATTTCCTTGTTCTTCTCCACAGCGACACGGGCTCTCTCTGCAAGTTCTAAAGGGTATGTCGGATCAAGCGCCATTCGAACTGCCTGAGCCACATCATCTTCATCATCTCCACTCTGCTCTTGAAGCATCTGCATCATGCGGTTCTTGTAATCGCCCCAATCACCTCCCATTAGTTCCACCTGATTTTTCATAGCGGCTCGTCTTAACTTATTTATGCCTTTGTTTCGCCAATAGGAGGCTACGGAAGATGGTGGTTGTGCTCCTGGTATCTGATGAATATACGCAAAGTGGCTTAGAGACTCCACTTTGTGTAAAATCCAAAGTTCACTTCGAAAATTTTTTTTCAATTCTCTGGGAAACCTAAAACGATGTTCTGATGGGATATGGGAAAAAATACCCTTGCTTCTAATAGGCAAATCATAGTAGTCCAAAAGAATCCATCTTCTGTTTACTTTAATTTCATATTCTATAGGATTTGGTTCATGAGGCTTCAAAATAGAATAAAGATTCGTGCAACAAATAGCTATTACGCCAGACTCTGCAAGATGCTTATCTGCCTCATCAAAAAATTGCTCCAATTGACCTGCAAATCCGTTCATCCCGGGCGCGTACCCATTGTCTGCTTCTGCAAAGAAAGAATTAAGAGATCCTTGATCAGGATAAAAAAATATCAAATCACACTTGCGTAACTTTGAGGATTCCTCATAAAAATTGGTATCAGGAAGCATTTCACTTACTCGAAAACTTATTGAATCAAACTGCTTGCCCATAAGTTGGGCATCCTTTCGACTAGAGGAAACAGCTCTTGGATTTGGATCAACACCTCGAACAATAGGAACTCCACAATACCTAGTTGCAAAAGCAGCAGAACCACAACCACTCCAGACAATAAGTGCTTTGTTTAACATTAAAGGACCCCTAAAATTTCTTAGCCATTGCATATACAATAAGAGAGGTTCCATATCGAGTTTGGAAGGTGCGGAAACTCCAAATGGTGGGTGAACCTTGTGCCGTCTTGGCAAGAGTGGAGCCAATGTAGCCCCTTGCTCAAAATGCGAAAAGCTCCTCAACAATTGAATGTATTCATCGTACGTTAGATGGGTATGGTCCATTACAGGGAAGTACTCTTCGACAAAAACCTGAAACCTCTTCCATAAAACCTGAGACCATTTAAAATTATCAAAAAACACGTTTTGAATACCAAAACTCGTGTTCAGTTCGGGATCATTAAAGTCTTCTAAAACCCAAAAGTCCCGACGAATCAGCAAACGACTACATAATTCCTTTAATCTCAACTGTAAACCCACTAAGTCGGTTGCGGAAATTGCAGGATATTCTGATTGTGTTAAATACCTAATCCCCAAATGGGCTCTGTGAATAGTCTCAATTTTATTTAAAGGAGCCACAAAAAAACCATTTTTCACCAACGCCCAAATGCTATCCAGCGGTTCAGATCCATCAAGCGGCACGTACCCTAATGGATATCGATAAGGATCCTTGGTAGCTTCAGGGCGTAATATGAGGTTTCTCCCATAACCCACCAATTTTAAAATCCGAAACCTTTTCATCCTTTTATATAGTCAAATGAAAAAGAGGCAACGGAAAAAACAAAAAAATCAACCGTTGGCAAAAAAAGAGTTTATTTGGCATGGAAGAACCACAAGAATAAAAACAAGTATAAATGTAAAAAAAGGAAAAAGAAAAGCTTAAATTCCATTTTAAAAAAGAAAACACACACACACACACACACAAAATAAATAAATAAATAAATAAATAAATAAATAAATATAAAAAAAGAAAAAAAAGTAGACTTCTTTACGAAGCACGATTTCTCTTCTCAATACGAGAAAAAATTTTCTCTTTTAAAGAATACACAGGTGCAGCAGGTGGTTTTAATGAAGAACAATTTACTAAATCCCCCAATAAAAGTGTTACAGCCTTGCACCTGTCATTGACGTAATGCCTGTAAATGGCAAAATTTCCTGTAAACCCAGAAGGGATGGTAGAATACAAAAGCACATTTCGTGGTAAAAATATAGTAATATTTCTTGAAAATTTTGTAATAAACCCCAAAAGCTCCAAAAAATCCATGCCTATAGTAGCACGTAAAGAGTTTTCCATGTCAAAAGAGGGTGCAGCGGCATATAACGGTCCTCCCCATGGAGGAGAGCAGTGTAACGCATCAAACTCCATATTATCTAATTTCAAGGTGCGGAAGTCACAACAGTAGAAGGAAACGCGATCCCCAACGCCATAAACCTCCACATTCTTTTTAGCCGCTTCTATTGCATCCGGATCTATATCAACAGCAACCACTTTTTCATAAACCCGCGCTAGTTGAACCGTATCTCCTCCACAACCACAGAAAAGATCAAGAACACAAGATTTCTTTTCAAGAACTTTATGAAGCTCGGAGGAAAAGCAAGCAATAGCCTCGGGTGTGACCTCGCACCATCCTTTTTGTGTCATCCACACGCCGTCGTCAAATCGCGACCACAATCGATGGCGTTGCCCATAGTACTTCTCGACCGAAGGGTCGTCTGAAAATGCATCCCCTACCCTTGCCATTTTCTTTTGGACTGAAAGTTTCTTGCGCGTATGCTAAGAAAAACTTGATACACACAAATGTCAGGAGACAGTGGGTGGAAGGGAGGCGGGGAACGACCGCGAATAGCCGCAAGAAGGGGGAACACAGAAGCACAACAGGAGAAAAGGCCCAACACCCCGGCCGCGCCAGAAACAGAGACCAAGGGCGCCGGAGCACGGAGGTCTCGCGGCGGCGTTTTGCGAGAAACGTCGTCTAGGGTCCGATCCGCCCGTTCATTACCATTTTTGTTTTGCCCGACGGAGGGGGACCGGCGCACCTCGGCCGGGGATTCTTGGTTTCGTTTCTTGGGTTACTTGCCGTTTCGTGTGTGTGGTTTTTCTCTCGTCGTCTGCGATTTCTTCCCTTCATTTTTTCATTTAAATAGTTCCTGCGTTTAGGAGATTTTCCCCTGCTAAGGATGGAAGATGACCAGTTTAGGCGGCGCCTGATAAGGTTTTATGAAGTACATAATCCTTCGTGTCTTTCTTCTGTAGATGCCATTTGGCAGACGTACCGTGGCCGAGAAGAAGACATTTTTAGAGTGTTAACTGACAAGTATGGGCCCGAGCCGGTTTTAGAGGAGGAAAATGGGGAATCTTTGAGGACACAAGTGCGTGGATCAAACTCTTCCATAGATGGGTTATCCATACCTCAGAAGAATTTGCACCTGCAAAATCAATTTAAAGAAAGGCCAGAGAGTTCGCAAAATCTGAAAGATTTCGCGTTGCCGAAGGCGGAATCCCCCTTGGCCTTAAATTTGATGGATGTCAATGAGGCAAAAAGGGTGCATTATCCTCAACCAACAACTACCAAAACTGAAAAAAGTCGCAATCTGAGAGAGAAATTGATTGAGTTTTACCAGCAATACAATAAGTCCATGGTACCTTTTGTGGATGAGGTCATTGAAAATTACAATGACAATGAGGGACATATGTTTGAGGATCTCAAGCGTCAGTACAAGGATTCAATGGATTTGGTCTTGCCAGTGAGTTCTTCTTCCAAGGAAGACCTGAATGCCGTGATGAAACGTCTTAGCGACGCGCTGGAAACCAAAACAGCTGAGACCCTTGCAATAAAAAAGGATAAAGAGCACCTTGTAAAAGAATTAACCGCGGCCAATAAGCTACTAGAGGCAAGCCAATTAAACGAGAAACATTTGAAGACGCAATTGCTAGCTGCTAAAGAGCAACTCCAGGGGTGCCACGGCAGCGCTGAACTAGAAGTTAAAAATGCGGAGGTGGTAGCGCTGCAAAAAGATAAGGAAAACCTTGCAAAAGAGCTCGCTATGACAAATAAACTTTTGGAAAGTGCTCAGGAAAAAGAGAAATTGTTGAGGTCACAATTGCTAGCTACTGAAGAGATCTTGAGATCAAGAGAAGAAATTATTTCAAATGATGCCCGTCAAAGGGATAAAGAGCAGATTAGAGAGAACAGTTTGCAAGCAGAATTGTCGTCACTGAGAAAGGAATGTTCTGGTCTGCGTTCTTCTGTTTTTAATTCGGGGAATCGGATTCGTGTTTTGGAAGTGGAAAAGAAACAACTTCTTGAGGAACTGAAGGAAGCAGAGAAACGCATTATTGATGTAGGGGATATGCTCTCAAAAGAGCATCAAAAAAATCTCTCATTACTCGAAGAGGTTGGTAGACTGAGACTTAGCACTGGAGGAGCTCTTAGTGAGGCTGCTTTCACATCTATTGTTAATGATATTGAGAAACAGTTTTCAGAACACTATGAAAAGAAATTGGGACAATGCAGGGAAGAAATGAATGATTATTATGTTTATGCAGAAAATCAGTTGCGTCGTCGTGACGCTCTTATTGCAGAATTAAGTAATAATCTTTGATTTTTATTTTTTTTTCAGGGAATCACTGGTGAAGACACTTGTATATTATGCATAGAAAATTTTATTTTATTTTTTATATTGTAACCATCGGTATTTTTATTTTTTCAATGTGAGCTTTTCTAAATATAACTATAAATTGATCTTTATTATACATGACATATATATATATATATTACTCTTATTAATTAATTAATTAATCATTTTTATTTTTTTGCTTTGCTGAAATTGTGGGAGGAGAGGCCATTTTTTATTCAGAAAGATGTCCAATCTTCGACGAAGGTCTCTATTAGTCATAAAGGAGAATAATGAGAGACCTCTATTAAAGAAGGTCGCGGCAGTAGATCTCTTTCCCAAGCCAAAAGAAGATTACTCTCGTTCTCAGACGTATCGTGGTGCTTTGGTGAGCCTGGTTACTGTGGTTGTAATTGGATTGCTTGTTTTTTGGGAAGTTTACTCTTACATTTTCGGGCGAGATGCATACACAACAGAGCTAAGTGTCGACACGAGTCTATCAAAGGAAGTTGAGTTTAATCTGGACATAACTTTTCCCAGAGTACCTTGCCATGAAGTTTCATTGGATGTATTGGATGTTACGGGAACAGTTAATCTCAATGTGACTCGTAACATTTTTAAAACCCCTGTAGACGCACAGGGAAATTTTGCATTTATTGGCACCCGTCAGGGTGTTGGGGAATATGGCAGTTTTAGAGAACAATCCAAAGATGATCCCAATTCACCACAGTTCTGTGGAAGGTGTTTTATTAGTGAGCATCAATTATCCATGAGTGAAAATAAAAATCGTTGCTGTAATACATGTAATGACGTCCTGAATGCGTATGACCAACAGGGTTTACCAAGACCACAGAAAAATGAGGTTGAACAATGCATCTACGATTTGTCGCGTATCAATCCAGGGTGTAATTACAAGGGGACCCTAATAGTGAAGAAATTTGGTGGAAGGCTTGTGTTTGCACCAAAACGAGTGCCTGGGGGATTTTTAATTAGAGACGTCATGCAGTTTGATTCAAGCCACATTATAAATAAACTTTCTATTGGTGATGAACGTGTTACTCGCTTTTCTCGTCGTGGTGTTCAGCATCCACTCAATGGTCATGAATTTGACACCCAAAGAAGATTTACTGAGATCAGGTACTTTTTGAAGGTTGTACCAACAATGTATCTCAGTGGTAAAAATAGTGCTTCTTTTAATGCAACCTATGAGTATAGTGTGCAGTGGAGTCATCGCCTCACCCCCATAGGGTTTGGGCATTTTCCATCGGTATCTTTGGGATTTGATTTTCACCCAATGCAGGTGAATAATTACTTTAGGCGATCATCCTTTCCTCATTTTCTTGTACAACTTTGTGGTATTGTAGGTGGACTTTTTGTCGTTCTTGGGTTAATCGATGGTCTTGTTGTGTGGGTAGGGAAATTTTTTTGAGAATCAATAAATAGAGGAAAATGAAGTTTGTTTTCTTCAAAAAAAAATGCCTTATTGGATGTTTTGATTCAGATAATGGACAAGGTCATCCCTTTGTTTTTACTTTTCTTTTTTTCTGTGCGTGGGGCTTTTCCCCTGAATTTGCTGTTCTTGTTATTATTATGGTCAATTATGATTTTGTGTTACTTTGTGTTGAATTCTTAGGCATATATCTTGTTACTAGTTTCTAAATTCTGCTTCTATTTGCTTTTCTCCTACTAGATTTTGTCTGATACGATGAAGCGGTGTTTAGTCCTGACATCTGAGGCACAAATGCCAGCGGTTTTACCCGATTGGGCTATAAAGAGGAAGACAAGGCTGGCTACCGCCTTGGACGGATTGGGTTTTCGGCTTTCCATTCTGGCGAAAAAGGTGATAGGGGTGAGCGACAGGATGATGGGAATTCAACCAAAAGAAGCGCTATATCGCATACCAAGACTCCTTACTGTTCATGGCGTCCGTCCAACGGTAATGGATAATGTTTTTATTGCACCCAGTGCTTTTGTCTCGGGTGATGTTAGAATTGGGCGGAAAAACTACATTGGGTATAATGCTATTCTTCGCGCTGAAAGGAATGAAACGATCTACCTTGGTGAAAGTTGTAATGTCCAGGAAAAGGCTGTTGTGACAGGAAACACTACTGTGGGAAAGTGGACAACTATTGAACCCATGGCCATAGTTGAGTCAGCGGATATAGCGTCCTGCTCATTTGTTGGTGCAAACGCCATTGTTATGAGAGGAGCAAAGATAGAGTCAGGTTCAATGCTTTGTGCAGCTTCCGTTCTTCAGTCAGGTGCTGTTCTTCCTTCTGGAGAAATGTGGTCTGGAAATCCAGCTGAAAAGGTTAGGGATTTGACCGAAAAAGAAAAAGAGGATATAGTAAAGGCAGCAAAGCATATGGTTCTTCTTGCGATAGAACACCGGGATTCATGGGAACTTACTTGGGAGGAATTAGAAGACCAACGTGAAGCTCGTGAGCAGTTTGCCCGTTACGCGGAAAACAATCGAGAGGTTCGAACAAAACCCATGTACATCAAGGAGCCTCCACGGCCGAGTAGAAAGGCTATGGGTAGGAAAACGCCTCAGGAGATGTTGGATGGCGGGGAACATAAGCCACCCCTGTCAGACAGTATTCACCAGGGGTACTGAGTATCGGGATTTGCTAAGAATTTTTTTAGTTGTCTGATTTTTATTTTTGACATGGATAGGGTTAAAGAAATAAAAACGAGAGAAGTTTTTTTTTTTTTTTTTGAGGGGGAAGAGAGAATCTCAGTATTAGTACTATTATTAGTGGGAGTGGTGGGTATGATGAACAGTAGAAAAAATTTCTGTTACGCCATTCTTCTTACTCATTCTGCCGGCGTGGTAGGTGAGGTGGAGAGGTGGCTAACAAAAATTGTTTGGATTTTCCGGGAATTTATTATTATTATTATTATTATTATTATTATTATTATTATTATTATTATTATTGAGAGATTGCGAAATTAATGGTCTGGCCTTACGGAGTTTTGGTTATACATATATATATATATATATATATATTCACCATGAAGAATTTGGCCGATGGTAAGTCTTAAAAGCCTACCCAACTCATTTTCGCCCCTTGCGGGAGGCATGCGAAAGCCGTCTTAGCACTTTTCTTTTTTTAGGCTATAAAGACCACGGGGAATGGGGAGTCAAGTCAATGCGTGGGCTCTCTATTGGCTGCTCGATGCATAAATTTATTTTATTCAATAAAGTGAAAATGAATAAGATAAATGGTGGTTTCTTTCCTTTTTTTTTTTTTAAAGGTTTTTATTAGGGACAAGTAAGGCATAGGCTCTTTTTTTTTTTTTTTTTTCTGTTTAAGTATCCTTTTTTTTTGTGTGAGTGATTTTTTTCTTTGCTTTCTTTTTTTGAGTGTTTGTTTCTGAATCCCATCCGGTGTTTGAGGAAATGGGATCTACAGAAGATGCACTGGTTATTTCATGTGAAAATATCCACAAAACATATCTCCTTGGTTCCGAAGGTGTTCCTGCTCTCCGTGGAGTTGCAGTTGGTGTAAAACGTGGTGAATTTGTTCTTCTCTATGGCACAAGTGGGGGCGGAAAAAGTACATTACTGAATGTACTTGGAACCATCGATCTGCCCACGAAAGGCAATCTATATCTTTTTGGTCAGAGAATTACCGAACAAACTCCAGACAGCGTTCTTGCTCGTCTTCGATGTCTTCGAATGGGGTTTGTTTTTCAATCTTTTAATCTTTTGCCCTCTATGAGTGCGCTGGAAAACGTTGCTCTTTCAATGACGATTGCAGGGACGCGATCAGCTGCTGAAATAAGGGAAAGAGCAAGAGATCTTCTAATTTCCGTTGGCCTTGGTGATCGTTTGCATCATTTTCCCTCCATGTTGTCAGGAGGTGAACAACAACGTGTGACTATAGCACGAGCACTGGCAAATGATCCTGAGGTACTTCTGCTGGACGAGCCAACTGGAGATCTTGATAGCAGAAACACGACTCTGGTGATGGATATTCTGATGAAGCTTAACCGCGATAATGGTCTCACAATGGTTATGGTGACTCATGATGTTTACATGAAACCATACGCTCACAGAGTTTTGTATTTACGAGATGGAAAATTGCAAAATGTGGAGACCGTTGAACCTCGAGTTCGAGAAATGGCTTTACGGAAATTAGAAAAGGACGCTGAAAAAGCAAGGCGAGGGAAAACTGATGATAAGGGTCTTACCGTTGTATCGGTAGTGCGCAATCCAATGGACTACGTCACCGCTGACGCCCAGGCCCAAATTTCATTTGAGGATGACCCGGGGATGCAACAGGTGGTGAGTGTCCTTTTTTCCGTTTAGGATGTGTGCTAGTGTGACAGTATCCACTGTTTTTAATTTACTTTAAATCTTTTTTTTTTTTTTTTTTGTGGACTTTAAGACTTTTTTAAAAAACATATACCATCATTTATTTCCCTCCTTACTCCTCCGCACAGCGGATTGGCTGGGGTTGGAGATCCTTCCCCTAGGAAATGAGCCACACGGCTCCAAAATATTCTTGAATTCAGTCCGCCCCGTCATGTTTTTTTTTTTTTTTTTCTACTAGGAGTGTGCGGAAAGAATGTTCGCGAGAAGCTTGAGTGCCCAAAAGGAAATAAATCCTGATGCGTCGAAGATATTTCTGTACGATTTTTTTTTCTTTTATTATGATACTTTGAAAGAACGCAATAAAAGTAATCAGGGACTCGGAAACGTTAGGACGTCTTTTTTTCCCTCATTTCATTCATATTTTTGCCGTCTAACCCCCTTTTGACTCCAACCCTGCGGCGGGGTCTTGTGGTTGGAGGATCTTGAACTCAGCCACCTCGTAGCTAATAATATCTCCAGTTCGCAGAGGCTGCAGCACGTCACGGTGGCGGCCAGCCGAATATATATATAATCGGAGCGAGCTACGAGGACGCGGCGAAGTCACTGTCTCTCCACCACCCCTTCCTTCCCGTCCCATTTTGTTTTTATGGAAAAGTCTGGTGTCTGGTCAGCAGCCCGGGCGAATACTCCACTTTTGCGATGATGAACGCCACGTCGAGGTTTGGGAGAGATGAGGCGGAGTGGGGAGTGGCAACCCCCATCACCGCCACGAAATGGCTGCTTTCACCACTTGTCCTTTCTCTTCACCCTGTTGTTGTTATTGTTTGTGATCCCGAATGGTAGAGAAGACGTCCAAATCATGGCTCAGAACCCCTCAGCAGTAAACAACAAAAAGGAAGTGCCCGACAGGCGAACATGCATTCTTGACACCGTCCTCGACGCCATCGGCTCCACCCCCTGCATCCGACTCAATCACGTGCCGAAGAAACACGGCGTGTGCTGCGATGTGGTTGCAAAGTGTGAATTCCTCAACCCCGGTGGCAGCGTCAAGGACCGCATTGCTCGGCAAATGATTCTGGACGCAGAGGCGAGTGGCCGACTGCGCCCCAATCAAACAATTATTGAGGCGACAAGTGGGAACACGGGCATCGGGCTCAGTCTGGTGGCTGCGGTGAAGAAATACCCCATGATCATCACCATGCCCAAAAAGATGTCACATGAGAAGGAGGTGACCCTCCAGGCCCTGGGAGCAGAGGTGATTCGAACGGAGACCGCATTGCCATGGGATCACCCGGATAGTCTCATTGGCATGGCTCGGCGTCTGGAGAAGGAGAAGGGCTACGTGTTGCTGGACCAGTACCGGAACCCAAGCAATCCGAAGGCGCACTACGAAGGCACGGCTCAGGAGATTTACGATCAGTGCGGTGGAAAGGTTGAAATGGCGGTGTTCACCACTGGGACGGGCGGCACAATGGCCGGAGTGGCAAAACGATTAAAGGAATTGCTGCCCAACATTGTCATTGTCGGCGTCGATCCGTACGGGAGCATTTTGGCCGATCCCTCGGTACCGCTGGATCCGAAGCCGTACCTCGTTGAGGGCATCGGGTACGATTTTGTGCCAGATGTCTGCGAACGGAAGTACGTTGATCGGTGGGTGAAGTCCGCTGACAAGGAAAGCTTTGCGCTGGCGTCGGAGGTTCACCGCGAAGAGGCGCTCCTCGTCGGAGGGAGCAGTGGTGCCGCCATGTGGGGTGTGCTGCAGGCAGCGAAAGATCTTCGTCCTGACCAGCGGTGCGTTGTGGTATTCCCGGATGGCATCCGCAACTACATGACAAAGTTCCCGGACAAGAATTGGCTGGTGGAGAACGGCCTGGAGGAGGGCGAAGTGACACGCCCAACCTACGGGTCGCTGGAGGCGCAGCTGGAAGAGGCAAAGAAAAAACTGTCGGAGTATGAGGCGAAATGCGGCGGCAGCGTGGAGGAGGGTAAACGTTGCTGTGAAAAAGCAAAGTAATATATGAATACATACATACATATATATAAATAAAACATAAACATACATAACGGGGCAAAACGAGGTAACTTTTGAGTAAATTCTGGGATCAGGGCGAATGCAAGGCAACGATAATTGCATGGGTACGGCAGCATTGTTAGGGAGGGAAGTGGAGTGTTTGGGGGGCACTGCGGGCGAGAAGACAAGAGCAAAAAAAAAAAAGGCGTCCGCCATGAGAAATACTGGGGAAATATGTGCAGGGAGATAGCTGGTGGGACGATGTGTGCGGAGGCGAAACGGAAAACCGGCAACGCATAAGAGGAATTGCGGGATGGGTGCTGGGGATGATTGATTACCGCAATTAACCGAATACGTTACTAAAATAACGCCAGAAATGGAGGGGGACCTCGTGTCTTCTACGGGTCCATGCAATCCGGGTTCCCAGTGGTGAACCGATGATGAATGCCCTGCTTTGGCTCCGAGAAGAAGGGCAAAGCAAAGGGGAGGGGCGCGATGTTTTTTTATTTTTTATTTCTTATTTTTTTTTTTTTTTTTGAAAGTGTCCTTCTTGAATATGTTTGGTGTGTGTTTGTTTTTTTATTATTGGGGGCGTGCGAAAAGAATGTCCGCGAGAATGCGGGCGACCTAATTTAATATGTTCTGATAAGACGAATATGTTTCTGTGCGGTTCTTTCCCATCTTATGGTTCCTTGGAAGACCGCGATGGGAGGAGTCAAGGAACCGATGACGGCAGGATGAATTTCATTTCATTGTTTTTGCCGTCCAACCCCCTTTTGACTCCAACCCTGCGGCGGGGTCTTGTGGTTGGAGGATCTTGAACTCAGCCACCTCGTAACTAATAATATCTCCAGTCCGCAGAGGCTGCAGCACGTCACGGTGGCGGCCAGCCGAATATATATATATATATATATATATATATATATAATTGGAGCAAACAACGAGGACGCGGCGAAGTCACTGTCTCTCCACCACCCCTTCCTTCCCGTCCCATTTTGTTTTTATGGAAAATTCTGGTGTCTGGTCAGCAGTCCGGGCGAATATTTTTTTTTTTGTTTTGGATCGTAGTTCACATGAAGGAGCGTTACGAAAAATGGAGCGGTTCCTTGCAGACGGGCAAAAATACTGCATGAACTGCAATGCTTGGCGCAGGTTTAGGTTGTCCCGATTTGGTTGCGTTTTTGCGTGCAGTTGTACAGGTGTGTTCATGGACTTTCAAAAGGTTTTCCGTGATTTTGTGACCGCAGTTGCCTTGGGAGAGAGAATTGTTGAATTTCTTCCCGTCATCTCTGGACGTGTTGCAACCGATCATATGAAAGTTGCCCAGGTTGAGTTAGACGCGATAAATAAATGTATTCATCTGCAGATCATGAACACAACACCAGAGGATGCTCTACATATCCTCAAAGGGTTGCCGCTGAGCTTGGAGCAATGGACCACAACCAGGGAAAGGTAGTTTTTGCTTTCCCATCGACGTTCTAGACATGCTGGTCCACGAATTGAGAATGTTGTCAGGCACTAAGGGAAATCGTCTTTACGTTAATGATCCCTCTAATCGATGTAGGGAAGTGGCTTTGGCTTCAAGGGTACCCAATCCATTTCATTT